CCGCACTCCACCGCAGAGCTGAGCGGTTGCCAGAACCTAAAATATTTACTGTCTGGCCCTTTACAGGAAAAGTTTGCCAAACTCTGCTATAAAGAGATGAACCCAGAACAACAACAACAACAAAAAAAAGGATTCTTCTTTCACAATGAAGTCTCAATTAAAACTCGAAATAATCTATGCAACTTTTTCTTCCTGGAAATTTTCAGTGAGTAAATCAAAATGTAAGTTTATATGTTTTTCTAGACTACAAATGAAATCTTAATTCACGTAAGATACAAACCCTTTTATGTAGTATGCTCTCAATTGTGCCAACAAAAAAAACAGAAACACCTGCGTGCTCACCTGGCTAGGATCCAGGGCTCAGAAAAACGACTTAAATTTTCTTAACAGTTTTTACTTTGTGCTGCTTTAGAATGGATGGAATGATTCAGTTTGCTTTTCCTGTGCCTTGGGACGTTAAGACCTATATTTAAATGTTTTCCTGTCATTATATCATTTAACATTCATTATGACTATGTTTATCTAGTTAAAAAAAGTCTCTAAACCAATATCTTTTGATTTTTTTTTTGGAAAACACTTATACTTAACTATGACTTTTCTTATCTACCAACACTATCCTCCACCCACTTTCCATCCACAGGTCTAAGCGGTTTTTCTCTTCCATTTTTCTCTAGCCAACTTTTGTTCTGATAATTACATAAATTCATTTAAACACATGTATTTACAATAAGTCCCCCTTTTAACATTTAACGCTATCATTCTGGTCGGTTTCCATGTTTACTGCCAGTTTTCTCAAAAAACATTTCTATTCAACATTTTATTATGTCTCTGACTTTATTCTTGGCAACAGATAATATTATTGAGACATTTTTGTAGGAAAGGTCATTAAGTGTTACGTAGTGTTCGAAGGTACAAGGTTGAGATTTTTTCCCATATTTGTCACTTTGTTCCAAGAGAAAACATGTAATAACACCAATCATAATCAAATTCTTTGGCAAATCTGTTAGCCACCGATTTTCTGGGCAGGTAAAGTCTACACTGTAAACAGAAGACCGAGGACAGCGCAGCTGAATCCCGCAGAGTCAGTGTAACAGTTCAGCCTGGGTCCAGCTTTGCTCAAGACACCTCTGCCCAGCTACCCTCGCCCAGACTGTCCTCCTGCTGAGCATGCTCCCTTTCTACGGTTCCCTAAGAAGTATGTTTTCTTTCTCGTGGTAACCCACGTGGCTCCTGGTTCCCTTACCTAGAAAAAGTAGGGCAACACCTGGTTCCAGCTACAGATCAAGCACTCAGCTCTGAGAGCGGTTTTGAGATGCTCAGAAAACTATAATTCAGCAGCATCTGGTCCAGTTCCTTGATGCTATTCCTCAGGCATCTTAGATCAGCTTCCAGATTGTCGTAGAGTTGCGCCCCCTGCTGGCTCTATCTAGTTGGCTTGGTCTATCTTCTTTTGGAAACTAGGCCTTAGGTCTCCCTGTCCTCTTGGATTCTCTTATTGGTGGGGTTTGGGGGTCGCGGGGGGTGCTCATTAATGAAGAGCAATGAAGAGCAGAGTGATACAGTCAACTTGCTGTCCGCCCTTCATTGCTCTTAATGATTGTCACCCTACCACTGTCCAAGCTGTCTTTCTATGAGATCATTATCGACATATTGTTGCCATACAATTTTATCTCAGGAAATATGTTTGGAGGAATCCACAAGCTAGACGCTATGATGACACCTACCACCGGAGTTGTTTTTTTAGACTACTTTACCGTTGTTGAAAGGTGCTGTTTTTCTTGTAATGTTTCTCCCACCACCGAAAAGAGGAGGAAAAATAGCAAATAACACAGAAGCAATAAGAGTATTAGAAGGTCATTTACAAAAACATTTTTACCCTTCAAAGGATGGGATTGGGGGGGGTGCGGTGAGACTCTATATAAATGTAATTCTGTAAGGAGGGAGCTCCAATGGGAAACCCGACATTGAAAAGGCATGCTCAGATTAGTTAGTGGCTATAAAATGCTGGAGAAATCTACTCTAAGAATTACTGACAAAATTATGGATTCAGTATAACTAGACCCCTCTAGGGTACGCAGATAGTACCCGCGGAGGGGACACTCAGCTGCTGCCACGTGGAAGAGGCAGAAGGAAGGCAGCCGACCAGTTCCGGGAGGAGAAGAACACGTCTGCTCCGATGTAAGTGGTTTTCTGGAACACTGCTCTGCTTAAATGTACCCCAAATATAGCTTTAAGTGGTTTTTTAAAAAGACCAGTATCTATTTTTTGTACCATATGAATTTTAAGGTTATTATAAAGCGGCAGATTTTAAAACACAAATTTTATCTATTAAATAAGTCAAAGGCAAAAACATTTTGTACTACACATAGTACAAAAACTACACTTCACGTTATCAGACTAATTACTATTCAGATGCAAGTATCAGCTAGTAATACCTGGTGTTCCTGGCTGTAAGAACTTTTCTGCTAGAGGTTTCAAATGATTTGATAGTAGCAACTCCTGACATTTCATTAAATGGCTCTATAAAATAGATTCTTTAAAGGATAAGACAAAACAAACACACATTTATGTAGCTTAACCAAATTTGTAAATAAAGCTAAAGAACCGAAAAGTTGTGTCCAGATTTCTAACATTCTACATTCAACTTAACAAATATTGCTGCTCTGCCCCTAAGTCAATTTCGAGAGTAAATACACAAGTATTTCATGTCTCTGATATTTACACACATAGTTATTTGTTTGGTTTTTCACATTTTTCCTACGATCGGTGCCACATTCTCCTTACAGGGCAGGCTGGTACCGTGACAAGAAGTAGCTTTAGAATCTGACAGAGCAGGGTCTGACCACCAGCCCTATCACTGGCTGGCCTGTTAACTTCTCCTATCTCATTTTCCCACGCTAAACGGGGCCAGTGATATCTATTTAATGGGTTGTCATGGAGAAAATGGGTTTAAATGAGATAACGGATACAAAATTCACAGTGCACGCTAAGGGCCGTGCCAGCATCCTTGCTCGGAGCCCCCTGCAGTTTGCAAAGCCATTTCACACGCATGACTCTTTAAGTTCACTGCCTCAAAACTGCCGTGGAAATGGAATCCCATTCTTTTCAACGAATAAGGGTTTAAGGATTCAGGGCTGAGGCTCCAGCACTCCATCCCACGGTCCCTCCTCCCATCTGCCCTGGCAACAGTGAGTCCAGAGACAAACATCCTTCTTCTCCAACTTCACCCAGCAGGCGGATGAGACCCTTCTGATGAATCCTCTTCTCTCTCTTCTATGTCCCACTCTCCAAATGTAAAGTCAACTGTACCTGGCCGTAGGGACAATGACAGTCAACCCAAGGTGCTGGCAACACTCGGACACCGAGGAAGGAGCCACAAAACAGCCAGCACCTGCCTCCGCTCTGTTAACGTTCTCCGGAAGAAACCGAGCCGTGGTTTCTCTACCTGGGGCAGGTAGACAGGAGCATGTGCGCTGGTTTGGGGAACGTGGGGAGCCATTTCCTGGCCCTGAGTTTGATGCAAATTATGAATTCTTAAGGAACTTTCCTGAACATTTAAACTTCACCATCCACAGTCTCTTGCTGCCACTTAGAAGCGGAGCCATCACGGATGCACAGTGAGCCAACGTGGCCAGCTGGCAAGCATGCTTGGCCCCTACTGTCGCTTTAAGAAGAAGGCCCTTTTCTTTATTCCCTCCAGAGGTCGGTCCCTTTGTGACATCTTTAACCATTACACCGACTTCTACTGACTGCCCTTTCATTAGGTGACGCGGGTCAAGGATGCCCCACAATCATTTATGACGAATGGTACAAGGGTCAGGAGAGAAGGCTGAGGCACTCCGATTTGTCACATCCCCTTCATGCTTAAAAAGGACTGATTTTCAGTTCTAATATTCAGCTAAAAACAATGCTTGGAATCTGGTTTCAAAAAAAACTACAGCTTTAGGGAGAAAAATCAAAAAAAAAATGTAAAACATTAAGTTATTTTGTTAATATCCTGACAGTATTTGTTTATATATATTTTTTGCTAGATTTAAGCAATGTGATAATCAAGTCTGATACATTACTCTGGATTACTTCTTATTGACAAGGTCTCAAAAGAATCATCTCATATGGAATAATGTGTGCCTCGTACACATTTCTCTGAGACTTTACCACCAACCAATCTCTAAAATCTCACACTGACTAAATAGTAGAAGTGAAATCATCAAATTTAAACTCGGCCAACGATTACTTTCAGTAAACGGTTTGGCAATTTCAATCAAACTTCTAGAAAACACAAATCAATAAAGACAAAGTCACCAAAGCCATGTCTCCCTGGTGATAAGGACAGCTGATGACCTACAAAAGGGACACAGAAAGGCGGACCGAAGCCATCAGAGATAAGGTAACTGTGACAGGATGTAACTGAAAACCTTTTAAGTGTCAGACACAGAAGACTGTTTTTAAATCTCGCCTGAGATTACTGATGTTCAGTCCATCTTGGAAACCCATCTCTAAAACACCATGTTTAAGGCTTTGCCGGGCAAGCAAGAGGCCAGCAGCGCACGCCCTGTCCCTTCCTCATGCCTGGAGTCACCAGGCTGATGGGGCCGGGCCAGTCTGCTCATCTGATTATCCTTTACCTCGCGACTGGACAGACAGTGAAGGGATGGATCCTAGAGAATTCCAGTGGCAGCTCAAAGTAGCCTGAGAGGCAGAACAGTGACCCACGTTATACACTGTGGTTTGTAAGCAGGGAGCAACGAAACCCCAGGCTGTGCAAGTGTCGGGCCGGAACTTTCTAAGTAATTGGCTTCCTCGTCTGACACGTTTTCTGTAACCACGGGAGAATTCAGGTGGCAGCGAAGAGTCGGCCAGTGTGAAGGAAGGTGAACCGAGGAGGAGGAGGAACTTGCTGGAAGCTGAACAAACACAAGGAGGCCGGAGGAGGTGACAACAAACGCAAGAATGAAAAGGAGAAGAGAGAGAGTGGGGTGGGGGCGGCCTCTTACACATACCTGCGTTTTTCTCCTGTCTCCCAAATTAGTGACAGGTGTATTTTTTGTTGCCCTGTTCTTCATGCTGTTATCAAGAGCAGGAGACTGACTTACAAAACGGCCACTCCAGTCTTTACTCTCAGCAGTGAGAAGCTGGGATCTGAGATGGCGAACACGCCATGACCTCCCTAGGCAGAGTCTCTCCACGACCTCTCCTCTCTCAGCCACCTCGCCCCGAACACAGAGTGGCACACGCATCCACTCAGAGCTGAGACTGGAGAGGAAATTGCCAAGTGACGCAGAGCTATTTCTCAGAACTTACTTTTTTTTAAAGTGAAAGCGGCTACACTCTGCGTTTGGGGCCTTATTAAAAAGTGAGAATGTGCTATGAGTAATGAAAGGCATAAATGAAGAAAATACATCTTCATTTATCCGGCACAAAGTTTTCATTGAACTGCAATCTCTAAGTATACACAATATTTAAAGAAGGCACCAGCATGACTACTTCACATGACAGTGGCTAACCGTGCCAACACCTTTGTGAAGGAGATTTTCATGAACGAATGGACAAACCAGTGGGACACTACACCGACCCCATTCTTGGTAAATATTAAAGACAAAACAGATAAGATTCATGGTGCCCAAATAGTGGCCAGACAAAATGAGATCATACTTGTGGCTGCTATTTCTTCAAAAGGAAGGAAAGCGGTGAGCAGCCACAAAGTCTTAGCTCGGTTGCGGGTGTGATGATGGCCAAGGTGAAGTTCGATTCTCAGTATCCTCAGACCACGACTCGAACCACCTCTGAACTGAGCGTATAAACCTTCCCGTCCTGGCCGTCGGAAAGCGAATACTATAACATTTTGGTTTGCAACCAAATTTTAAATTCATGCCCCTGCCCCCAACTCATTTTTTTCACTAATTCTAGAAAATAAAACTTTTTAAAATGCTAAAACACCTGCACGTACTGTTGCATTTGGTATTCAAGAATCTAGGGATGTCTAACCACCACCGTCAATATCGTCTCTTCCGGTCACGACCTAATAATTTATTTGCCATTTAGAGGGAGGTTGTTATTTATCTAAAGCATTAACGGCCAATCCCACCCAAACAATTAGGTTTGATAAAAATAAAGTTCAAAATGCTACTTGACTAAACACACGGTGCTTTTCATTTTGTAGGCACTTGACAATTGATTCTGTAATATCCATAATATTAAGTGAAGACAGAAGCTAGACTATTTAGATGTTTACTGAGAGTCAGAATTTTGAATCTAGAATTTCTAGATTCCTAAGGGCTGGGGGCAATCCACAGTGAAGCATCATGAGATCAGTGAACTCCCGGAATCGTGGGCCACTGTTACGTGTGTATATGAGCAATTTTCTGAGGGTTCATAGCTTTCATCAGATACTCCTTCGGTCTGCTCTACATAACTTCCTAAACAAGGAAAGAGAATAAAAGACCAGAGCGGATATGGGAATAAGGTATCTAACCATCTTCACCTTCATAAACCATTGAAGTTTTAACTTTGATAACTGTCCGAAGGACCATAAAAGATCAATGCTAATTCTACTTGGATTCTTCTGAAATTTAGTTTTCTTCTAAGCACCTCTCTGGATTCATGAGGACAAAAGACCATGCCAAGCAAAACACGGCGTTAGAAAATGTGTGTAGGCAGAAAGATGGGGAACAGTGGGCCCCAGCAGCACACACGGAGCCAGGATGGGCCTCCGAGACTGGCAGACCCGCCCCTCGCCTGCATCGATGCAGAAGTTTGATGACTTCTCCAAGCACAAAGCGATTTCAGTGTAAGACTTGGGGCAAAGTCCCATGCGTTCTTCCTGTGAGACCACCCTATGCCCGGATGGCTTCCCCCGAGAACAGACAGAGCCTGCTCATGGGGCTTACCGAAGTTAGGATTTAGTTTGAGAAACTCAGACTCCCTGCTTTCTTCTCCCCCAAGAAGTAAAATCGTACTGAGGTCTCCATACCTCTCCAGCTCTGACCCAAGATGCCTAGAAAGGTTACAGAGATGGAGTCACAGGGCCAAACGCCACAGTGGACGGATGAGGAAGGAAGATGGAGGGACCCTACGACTTCTCCCCACCAGCATGAGCATACGGCCCATCCCTCAGCCAGCAGCACGGAACACAGGGACCTTTCTGTCCGGCCCCAGACGGAAACAAAGGGAAGATGTCAAAGAGCAAGTCTGGAGACCCTTTCCCCATCCAAGTTGCAGGTAGCTGTCGGGCTAGTCACTGAACTTAGCCCTTTGTTTGCCTTGAAAAGGACAAACCCATCCTTCCTGCAGTCTCATCTCAGACAGGGCGGTAGCGAAATCACAGCCCCTGTCGTTTCGAAAGAGAGGATAAGGAGAGGCCTGCGCCAGAAATAAACGTGGGAAATAAGTCATGGGACCAAGACCAGGTAGGTCCACACGCATCTCTGCCAGGTCAGGGTCAAAGCTTCGTGTGGCCTCAGCTCTGGGGAGTCTTCGAGTCTCTTTGCTGTTAGTCATCGCCCCAGCAGGGTGAGGATGGGAGAGTCATTATCCCACCAGCACTGGGGCTGCTTCTCCTGCAAGTGGATCCCACAGCCGGCTCCCACCCCACAAGCCCCGATCCCACAGCCGACCCCGCTGATTCACGGGTGCCTCTACGACTTCCTCCTTTTCTCTTCATTTTGTGATTCTGAAGATGCCTCTCAATAACAACTCTTTTTTTCCAGGAAAAAAAAAAAAGGTTGAAAAGGGAAAGTCTGGAGGAGGAGGAGAAAGCGGGGGCAGGAGGAGGCAGGCAGGACAGTGCCGTGGGCAGAAGAGGAAGAGGCTAAAAGGGAGCCGGCCCCGTGGACATGAAAGCCAGTGACCTCAGAGCACAGGGGGAGGGGGAGCCAGGGACTGCATGCCCGCCTCGACCCTGCCAGCTCCTCTGTGAGTCAGGAGCTAATCATCCCCACTTCACAGATTAGGAGACAGGAGAGGAGAGGGCCGTGGCCAGCCCCAGGCTCCCCTGCGCCGTGGCCTCTGCTGCCTAAACGGTATCCTATGCCAGCACAGAGCACGCGAGCCTTGTGCCGCATCTGCGACACACCCCCAGCCTCCCACGGTCCGCACGTGCCAGTCCGGTCTCATTCGACTGGAAGTCCCCATGTGTGGGCTTTAAAAGCCGCGTGGCAAAGGCGCAGGCAGCTGAGCGCTCGTCAGGCAGCAGCCTGCTGTTGGCAGTTTGTGTGTCTCTGGGCCCTGATCAGCCCACGGCTCTGCCGACGGCCACAGCGCCCCTTCCACTTTCAAGTTTGATTCTTCTGTCCAGGGACACGCTTGGCGGGGCCTGAACCCCTAGGACCACACCCTGTGGCCACTTTGACAGGGAGGCAGCTGTGAAAGGAACTGGAGAGAGAGGCCACCAGCGGCAAGATCAGCGCCTTCTCATCAACTCCACTGTTTGTCCTTCGTCCACTGGACAGGCTCTGCCTTCCCAGACCGCTCCCATGCGGCCGCCACTCACGCAGTGTGCCCGCTTCCGAGCTGTCACGCCACCCGCACCTCGGGCTCACTGCTCCCACCTGTGGTCAGCCCTCCCCAGGCTCCGCACGGGGACCCGGTTTTCTCTTTCTCTCTTGCTCGGTTGGCACTGTGGGGGACATCTCTCACCTACTGAAGATGTAAGTGATCCCTGGCAACAAGGAGGACAGGGCCCTTATGTGCTTCATGCTGCAGCGATGTCCCTTCCTGCCGCACCCAGCAAAGAGCTGGCATCTCCTAACGCATCGGCCCGAATGATCAAGGATAGGCCAGGAGGAGCAGGGACTAATACCCTGAAGCTAGGAAAATGAGAAATTAAAAGAAAAAAAAAATCCAACAAACCACAAAGAGATCAAATGGCTTTTCGTACTCCAAACTAAGGACGGTCGCTTCGAACGAGTCCACAGACTTGCCACCAGGTCCCTCCAAAGAGAAGTGTGATATTCGAAAAGAACAACGCATTTGAGAACTGGTGGAAAATTCAGCTCGGCTTTGATCCGGCCTGCGTCCTTGGCGCCTCTCTACGCGCTGACATGACATCTCTCTTCTAAGAGGTGGCAAGTCTGCAAGACCTGGCAAAGTCTCCCGCGCCCCCCTAAGCATCACAGCTCCCACTCCTGCTAGGGATGAAGGCAGATCCAACATCTACTATTTTTATTTAGTCATTTGAGGCGACCCTTTACAAAAGGTCGTCCATTCACAACACACTACACAAGAAAAATAAGCTAAAAGGTGAGCAGGCTTTGTCTTCCTGCCTTTGAAGAGCTAAAAGGACTAACTGCCAGGGCCCTTGGTTTCCAATTCATTTTCATCTCATGGGACAGCTCACAGGATCTGACCACTGACACTGCCCTCGGCAGCTGGTAAGGCAGCTGAGATGGGTAAGGCATGTACTAGGTGAGCAGAGGGGAAAGCGGTCACGACATGCACATATATGTGACACATCAGGACAGGGGGACTTTTAGCCTAGTGATCTCTCATATTTGTGCTTCTAGTCGTACCTGATCCTCTGAACAGCACGGGGTTGGTGGCATTGTTATTTTTACTTATAGATGAGGACACGCTGTCTTAGAAATGTTGGGTATCTTGTCCCAGGTCACATAGTGGGAAAGCCTGGTGGATCAGGACACAGATTCGGGTTTCCAACCATGAGGTCAATAGCTCTATTATACCAGTGCCTATGAGAAAAGGCTACGTGGAACTCAATCATCGTGAAAGACAACTGTCTGACTCCTGGAAAACGTCAGACCCCAAGTCACTTTTCAGGGACAATGAGTTTGCTTCGAGGATGCTCGCTCGCTCTCTCTCTGCTCATTCATCCAGGGATTATGTCAGATAACATGCGTTTAGAAATAGGTATGTTTAGCTTTTCTATAAAAGGTCACGATTACATTCATCTATTGAATAGCAGCCATGGAGAAAGGCTACTACTTATAAATAAATTATATCTTAGTTGGACTTTTTAACAAAAACATCCTATAACCAAACAGATCTCGAAATAATGCAGGAGATTCAAAGGTATGAAAGATGTGTAATTTGAAAATGCTGGAAAATAAATCATGTAGCCCAATAATCTTTTTCTTTCCCTGTTGCCTCTTAGCTCTGCTAGCTCTTCAAAGCAATTCACGTGAAAAACTCAAAAGGTTAAGCTAAGTGGGTGAGCAGGCATTAAACACTAAATGCAAGTTATGTCCGTGCTTTGTCCTAAAACCCAGCCATTAGCGCGTGTCCCTTTATTCTTCCTTGAAAAAATAAATGGGACAAAATATATCTTAAAC